TATTGCTCTCTATAACTACCTGAAGGGAGGTTGTGGTGAGCTGGGGGTCGGCCTCTTCTCTCATGTGACTGGTGATAGGACTAGGGGGAATAACTTCAAGCTATGCCAGGGGAGATTTAGGCTGGACATTAGGAAATACTACTTCACTGAAAGAGTGGTCAAGCCCTGGAATTGGCTGCTCAGGGAGGCGGTGGAGTTACTGACCCTGGAGGTGTTCAAGGAACGTTTGGATGTTGTGTTGAGGGACGTGGTTTAGTGAGAACTATTTGTGATAGGTGGATGGTTGGACTGGATGATCTTGTATGTCTTTTCTAACCTTAGTGATTCTGTGACTTGCATATTATCCGACTCACCAGAGCTAACACCATCTCAAGACATCACACAGCCCTCTCACAGCTGCAAGAAGAATCATCTGAGTTTTCTTTTCTGCTCTTGCAGCCATCCGTGCTCATCCTGCAAGACATCTAGACTCTTCTACTATTTACCTCTCCTCTTCTGCTTTAAGTCTTTGCATACCTGCACAAGGCAGGAATTGGAACCTGGATAAATTCAAATATTTCTACCACTTATTTCCTCTTTTGTATTTATAAAATCATGTCTATCAGTTCTGAATACCAGTCCTCTCTTTCCTGTTCTGCCAGCTATCTAAACATGAAACTCAGTAACAAATACTGACAGCTTTTCATCCTTGAGTCATTTACGCCATGCTTCAGACTCCTCTCCATCCAGATGTCCCTCTCTTGCCCTTCCAATATCTGCCCTCCTAAGTCCAACTGTACTTTGTGCCCAGTGACCACCTGCACATTGCACTTAAGTATCCTTATTGTTTTTCCTCCCATGCTGCTTAGTGCACTTTGAAAGGCTTTCCAAAGACGACAGTTTCCTAGTTTCTTCCTTCAAAATCCTTCCCAACTTGTTCACATTACTATCTACAACCATTTGGGTAGGATGCTGATGTTGACACTATTCCACACGGTCTCCATCCAGAGATCTTGGGTACCACACAACATAAACCACCAACAAGTAATCCCCAGAGTGAGATGCATCAGTGGTGAGAGAAGCTTGGTCCAGTCCCCTCACCTCTCTGGAGCACAATTTCAGACGTGTTTTTCAGAAGACTTCAGTGCCACCTCAGCTGTGACCAGTGAAAAAGTGATCAATGAGCCACAAACATAAAGTGCTCGCACATAGCTGTGGCAACATAGCAGATGTGAGTACAAGAATGAAAAGCATCTAAAGTCACTAGCCTTGAAGATAAAAATGCTTCAAGCAAAGATGCCCAGCTCTACATTATGGTCACTGTGTACAGAAGGCATTAATTGAGTCACTAAGTTTATTCTTTATATGGGTTACGCACTTCCCCACAGAGAAAGTTTAAAGCCAATATGGGATTGAATTTTTTTGCTCTGACTTTTAATAGCTTTCAGCTAGCAACTCATGGCTGTTCCTCAGTCCTTCACACACAGACTTTCATGAAACCATGTAAAGACTCTGCATCAGCTTCTTGGAGAAGGGCTGAGAATTTGGTAGAGGCAGCAACCACTTCCCTGGGATGGCACTGGGAGCATAGAGAGCAAGCAAGTGGGACTGTAGAAGGCAGATATTGGACAGGATGAGTTTATATCTTCAGAAGCAGAAAGACATCTAATAAAACACAATCTCCTGCAGAGATAGAAAAGACATATCCTTTAAGTCACATGTACACTGTTCATGTGTACATTACAGTATCCAACTTTGGCTTTGTCCTTAACAAAATCCTTCTCAAACATGTGCTTGTGAATGGGAGGCTGACTTACTCTTAGCTCAAACTTACTTCATGGTTTCCTCTCCTCCTTGAAAAGCTGATTAAGTACAGAAAAATAATGGTGAGTTCACATCCCTATCTTCCCCGAAAGCAGGTCATGATGAGGGAGGACTTCAGCCTGTTCCCACTGTTCACTATATACTTTTTAACAATTTACTAGACTATAAAGTCTAGTGGCACTTGACATAGTCCTAGGTGCTTGCATAACTATCATTTCACCTAGTCTTTCAAGCAGTGTCCCAAAAAGAAAAAAAAATCTGCTGTGCCACTTAATTTTTCCCATCACTCCTAATTACTTTTTATTCAAGCTTACTTTGCTGAATGACTATTAAACTGAGAAATTAAAAGCAAATCATTGTCATCTGTCATTCAGATTTCTGCAGTCTGAAATAGTTACTTCTAACTGGGAATCTATCAACCAAAGTCGTAACTGCTGATTTAATGAATGATTATAGTTTTGAAAAAGTATATTTATAGTTTTGAAAAAGCCATTTCAACGCTTTAAGCCAGTTAAAAATGATAAAACTCTTCAGTCTCATTGCAAGCTCATAACTGTTATTGGATTTACCAAGTATGATTAAAAGCCCATGAGTTGAGCCCAAACAAAAAAAATTACTGTAATTTGTATATATTTACTCTAACACTAACAGTATCACCAAGTTTTATTCAGAACTTACTCAAGTGAAACAACTGGGTAAGTATAAGTCTTCCTTAAAGAAAAAATAAATAAATAAAAAGGATTAATAATTGACAAGTCTATCTAAAGGCCACCAGTGTTATTAGAAAAAGGGCAACTTTACTGTTATCCCAGTTCATATATGAGCACCAGGACTCATCTTTCTATAAGGAACAGACATTGGAGAAGAGCACAGGAGAATGAAGCATATCCTGACAGCATCTGCATGCAATACTTTAAATTGTAAAGATTCTCATCTTTATTAAAGGTTAAGATTTTTATATGCTGTTGTGGCTGCCATCAACACTGCCAGCTACATCTTCCAGGTGTTAGGTAAAATACAAAAGAGTTTCATGCTTATCTACAACCTGGAAAGAGCTTTTAATATACATAAGCTATTATTGCTGCTTCAAATGTCTCCTATCTTATAATGCCGGCTCACAAGACCAGAGGTGGATGTTGGTGCTACGGCAAAAGAGGTTGAACCTTCCCATCGATATTCCATCACGTTTTGTTGCAGTGAGGCAGATGGCAGCAGAGGGGCAGTCTGACAGAACGGCACCTGATGTGGAAGTGAGTATGAAGCAAAGGTATGGAACTGAATTTCCCCGTGTGGGAAAAAATGATACTGACTACTGACCTTCACCGGTTCTTGCTGAACATTTATGGAGACCAAACTGGATGTGAGCACAGGGAGGCTGTGGGTGGTGTTTTCCAGCAATGGTGACAGCAACAAGACAGACAAGGCACGTTCTGGACAGCCATACAGATTGTTATGTCTGCAGCATGCAGGCTCTAGCTCATGGTAGGGACTATGTTGAAAAATAGTGCTTTGTAGCTGAGAATCTGCTCTATCAAATGGGGCTGTTGTGCTCTTTGTACCAGTTACAGGTTCCACAGAAATAAATCGGAGTAATTACTTTCAAAGCAATCTATATATAAAAGAGGAACAGATTTCTAGCACTGCCTCACCACGATGGGACAAGAATGAAAAGGCCTTTTTAATTATAACATTTTTTTTCCCCATAACATGTGAAAAATAGAAGTGAACAGGTGGGAAACGATACACTTATCTTTTTTTCCATTCTCCTTAAATTACAGTCCTGCCATCTGAGGGAGGACTCCTACCAGAACAGGTTATAATTTCATCTTGTCACTACATGCCAGTTCCGTATCTGACTAAAAGTTTTGTGCTTTTAGAACCCTCCCTTCTTGCCCTTTAAGTAGACAAGGCCCTTCAATGGGAGGGCCCTGAGTGAGCACCACGCAGTTGGGAAACGCATTTTAAAGCCAGTTATCTAAACATTACCCTCCTTTAATCACATCTCTGCTCTGTCTTGCTGTAGACTCACTTATTAATGTTGCTTTGGAGACAGCAAAATTTTCCCAAAAGATTCAGCTAATGATAAAATTCATCTTTTTAATATTTTTCTCATTGTCGGATATTTATCTGTTTTATTTCTATTTGTATGGAGGTGTCTGCTTTCATTTACAGTGGTTTCATTTGGCTTTTTACATTCTTGTGGGTTGTAAAAACAATATATATGGGGGAAATGACAACAGATTAATTTTACAAACATAATGCAGAGAGAGGAAGCCTACAAAGCTGTCCTCCCTCGTGTATCATTGCTGCTTATGGCATATGAATTTAGAAGTTCATTACTGGACAGTGTAACTCAAAAAAGTAAAGAATGTCACTTCTATTTACTGTTTGCAGATTTAGTGAATCTTCCTAATCTATCATGCAATATTTCATAACCCAGACAGAGGGAGAAGGAAAAAAATTAATCATTACTTACTCATGTACTTCAGTAACAGCTTTTCCTGGCTTAGCAAAAAGAGAAAAAAGGCCCAAACTTGAAGTTACCTCAATAAAATGAGTGACCTCTTGGTCAGCTGCCAGACCCAGGGCATAAATTCCAGTGTTCATCACCTCTTACGCCCGTGCTTTATGTATCCATGATCTTCATCTGGTCTGGATGGGTCTGCAGGGAACTGCCCCTTCACCACTATTAGTTTTTAAGTCTTTCTTACAAGCAACAGGAAGAAGATGAGTAGCCTCTGAATCCCAACAAACCCTAATCTCAGCTGCACAGGAAAGCAACAACAATCTCAGAGATAAAACCTGTTTCTAAATTTGTTAGCCAGACCATTTTTCCCTTATCAAGCAGTCTGTGCTCACACCAGGAAGAAACCACAACAGCCTCTCCCCTCAAAATGCCAGTGAATGGTTGAGGCAAAAGAGATCGGAGTCAAGTTTCCCAGAGTCAAGGCTTGCTCACACTTTTCTCTTCCACAGGCATTTTTCCACAGTGCTTTTCTCCCCACATGAGTTAAGTTACCAGTTTCTGGGTTTGTATGTTGGTTTGGAACAATTTCAGGTTGCAATGCAGAAAACAGCTTACCTGTGCAGATTTCACCCTCCTTCAGCCATTACACGCAGTTGCAGCCAGTCACCAAGTCCTCCTTCCTGTAGTACAAAAAGAATGAGAACCTCAATTCACATGGAATTTTCACTCTTTTCACATTACACAGCATTCCTATATTGGGAAAGATGCACACTGGAGATGTTTCTTCTCCCTGTACAGTAACATTTCTTTACTTCCAACACAGTAATGAGGGTGACAACAGCCCCTCAGAGAGTAAGGCATGTGCTGCAGCCACTGTTATAGTTAGCAAAACAGAAAACAGGGGTCAGTACTAGGTCCAGTCTCGGTCAATATCTTCATAAATGTCCTGGATGAAGGGATTGAGTCCACCCTCAGCAAGTTTGCTGATGATATCAAACTGTGAGGAGTGGCTGACATGCTAGAAGGCTGTGCTGCCATTCAACAAGTCTGCAGAGTTGGGCAGAGAGGAACCTTGTGAAGTTCAGCAAGAAAAAGTGTAAGGTCCTCCTCTTTTCAAGAGGGGCAGGGAACATCTGGAGAGAGTCCAGTGGAAAACCACAAAGACACTTCTGGTCTCGGAGCATCTCACTTAGGAAGAAAGGCTGAGAGATCTGGGGCTGTTCCACCTGGAGGAGATCCATCTCAATGCTTAAAACACCTAAAGGGCATGAGTGAAATGTATGGGGCCAGGATCTTTTCCGTGATGACCAGCAACAGGACAAGGGGCAATGAGCACTGCACTTAAGCAGCTCTGTTGTTCTCCTCTTGCAAACATTAAATTGTATTCAGTGATCTGGCAAAACATGACAACTTATTCCTACATTAACAGTTTCACTTCTTGTACTGACATGGAGCGAGTCTGAAAGGCGAATCATTGCCTCTTGTTCCCCAGTTTTAATTTCAGTTTTCAGAATTTCCTATCAGGAGTTAATGCAATAAAGCATCACACCCTGTGCATTAGGTTTCTTGCTAATTCTAAAATGTGAAATAAAAGGGAAAGACTTTAAAACATCATGCCGTCCATCCAATATCCCTCTTACTTAGGATGTTTGTATTACACGTTGGACTTACAGAAGAATCCTCCTGCTCCCATTGAATTTTTAGACTTACTTTGTTCCACTTTTAGCTAGTGATCTCTTTCAGAGGGAAACTCACCTTTAACCTGGCTAGAAGCCTAAAAGTCAATGGAAAAGGAACTGCTGGTTTGGTTCTCCTGCCGGTCTTCTGACAAAGATCACAAAGTCAAGTCAAGGTGAGAGCAAGATTGTCTTCATTCTCCTTTCTTCATTTTAACACAGATTTCCAAGATGAAATCATTGTGATCTCTAGGTGGTGAGATATGAATCCAGTTTCACCTAATTAGCTACAAGAATGACTGCTTACAAGCTGCTACTTTCTGTTAGCTTGTTTAGTATTTGTCAGAACCACCGTGTACCAAAAGCTATTACAAGAGGTATTTTTTAAAGGGTGATTGGATACACAAAGACCTGCTAATCATCAATCTTAGGAAAACTGCATTTCAGATAGAAAGACTTAATTCTCTGTGTACATTATTTTTTCTGTTGAAATTGCATATGCTTACATCACCATTTGCAACTGAGAGAAGTATAAATATTGATACTTGTAACACACATGCCTTTTTCCTTTAATTCAGCCTCTGTGAGGCTGCACAAGACCACATAAAAACATGGGGCAGGACCAACACTGTTGTGCTAGAAACCATTTGTCTGCAGATTCCATTTTTTGGGAGTCCCTCTATTTTGGAGCATTCCATAATCCAGGACATTCCTGCATTCCCAAAGATAGCAATTTTGGATAAGACTAATGGCTTTTGGCACTTCTCTATCAATACCTTGGGTTAGTTCCCTGTTCCCACATCCTGGTACAATTACATGCTGCATTTTCCAAATAGCGATTTTCTCAAGTCTTCTGCAGCAATATCCATTTAGTGAAAATAAGCTCATTGCTAAAAGCCCCAGATCTCATTTGTTTACTTTCTCTTGCTTCTAGCTTTTCTCACAGTGCAAATATCCCTGTTTCTGGCAACACACTGATTTGTGCTCTCCTATCCAACCAAAAGCATCAGCTTTCAGACAAATAACAGTCTATTCATCTTCTGCTGCATCACTGCCTTCTGCTCTGGTGAAGAATTCCTGCAAGCTAATGGAGCTCATATCACCTCCTTTGTCCAAACAATTGTCATGATCTCTTTATTAACACTCACCACTGTGTTGTTAGGCTTTTTTTTTTTTTTTTTTTTTCCTCACCCTCTTAAATCCATTCACCCTTGGAAGCATCTCATAGATTTTGAAAACTTCAGTGCATCACTTCCTGGCCATCCCAGGGGCGTTTTGGATTTGCTGCCTCCTCCATAAATTCAATGCACTGCCCACTCCATTTGTTCCACTGCTGAACTACTTGCATGGAATTCTCACTGCTTTGCTGAGGGTTAATTCTTGATCTCCCGTAGTCCCTTCTCTGAGCATCTCACAGACTTTTCCCCTAATACTCAGTCCTCCCTAAATTTCAGGACTGAGTTTTCAGTCTTCCATAAGTAGCAAAAGCTTCCAAGATACGACTTGGTTTAAATACTCATTATACAAGAACACTTCTCTGATATTTCTCATTTTTATAACTTGGCCTTCTAATACCTGCCCTGTTTTAGCCATGCTAGTAGCTGTAGGATTCAAACTCAAACTAAAACATACAACAAGGGGCTGGCCTATATGCATCTAACATTTTGTGATTCAAACAGGCTGAACAAGACCAAACAAACAGGGCTGGACAACGGTATTACAAATAATATTTTACTGAAAATACAGATTTGACAGTTCCTAATCACCAAATGCAAGAAATTCTGAACGGTGATGGAAAAAACCAAAAAAAACCAACATTTCAGCTGTGTTCTATTCTGAACTGATTAGCTATCCAGTATGCACGTCTAAGCTTCAATATTTCTGCAACATATCTGAATTAGAGAATTGTTGAAATGACGTATCTGCCTTCAGACAAATCCTGGACACAGATAGAAAAGCACAAATCTGGAGTAACTCAATTGTTCTTGTGTTTTCTCAGGAGTTGTGTTCATTTAGCTAACAGCTGTCTTCAGATCACTGAATAAAACTGCTTTACAAGGTAGTACATTAATGCTCCTATTCTCAAAATAAACATACGTATATTTTCATCATATTTTACATAAGTTCCATTTCAAATGCATTAATTCAATTACCTTGTTTTATAGATACTGAACATTCAAGCAGGTTTTATCAGTGCCAGAAAGCCAGTGGCAAGTTCCTGCTGGCAGTATTCATAGCAAGACTGAACTCTGAATGTGCATACATTTACATTTGTAAGCTGAGACTTAGAGGATGAAAATGCAATTACTTAAATTCCACAGACTTGGATAAAATTATGTTCTATATATGAAATTTTTTAAATGCATAATTGTTTCAGCCTGCAATCTGCGCACAGCATGCCAAGTCCTCCTCCTTAAATCACTGCAGCAGAATTCACGTTGGCTCCAAAGGGAGCAAAATTTATCCTGCAGTCCCTGTTTCTAAAAACAATTTGAAAAAAAAAAATCAGCATTCTGTACTTGTTCAATACAACCTCACCAACCAACATAGCTCTTTGTTCAAACACTCAAAAGCATCAGTTCTCACTAAAAACTTAATTTGTGTTAGAGGTTCACCAACCAATAGAGACACTTCCCAAATCTCCAGTCACAAAACCAGGATGGAAAAAGAAACATCAGAAACACTAAAACTTCTTACTTTCCATGTAACTTAATTCCACTCTCCTATACAGATAAGCAGAAGCATTAGTTTATTTTAAATCTGCCATACACTAGAAAACGAGCCATTTGGATGACTGATGTTCTTAAAGTTCATTTCCATTCAAAGTGAGTGAGCACCAAGGGCAAGACCATCAGCAGCAAACAAAGCCAGCTCCCTGCAGCATCACTCAGCATTGATACATGGAACAGGGTATGTTTTTGTCCCTCAGCATTGTCTTTTGCAGAGGGACCCCAAACAGCATGCATGGAGGAGGGAGAGCTCAGTGGCAAAGTGAAATCTCTGTCTGCTTCTGTCAGGTTTTCCTCTCTATTTTCTGTTGGAACAGTTCAGATTCCTGTAGTTGACAGGAGATGCCCCACTAATTTCACAGGACTTAGGCACAACGCACCAATGATCTAATCCCTCAGTTATTGCCTTTTAGTCGTATTCGGGAGCAGGAACAAATCAAGGAGTAGAGGTGACAGACGCAAACCCATAGACTGAAACATCTGAAGGCAGTGGCACATCTCCCTCCATTCCTCATTGGTGAGCACTGAGCCATGAGTGCAAGCTGCTACAGCTCACAGTAGAGCAGAGAGCATCCAGCCATCAGCCCTGGCCAGCGAACATTCAGCCCTAGCATTTGTCCTGGGATTACAGAACAAATTTGTTCCCATCTGTCCGCATAAGTTCAAACAGCACTCAGCCAAAACACCACCTATTATTTTTTGAATGGCCACATTGTCCTTTGAATACTCCACATTCCTGGCACTTACATACAGAATATACCAGTGCAGCCACTAAGGCAGTGGAAGACATCACCAGGATGGAATTAACACAGAACTTGCATTGTGCTGGTATTTGATGTTGTGTATATTTAGAATGTATTTATTTACGGATTACCAGAAAGTCAGTAATCACTGTTTCCAAGGATGAAACTCCTTCCATGAGCCACTATTGCACATCCAACTTTTCCCTCCAAACAAACATACCATTGCTGAGAAGCTAGAAGAAAGATGGAACAGCTCACGGATGTGCAATCAAGTCACGCATCCATCCAGTTGGTGGCTGAAGTTTTGGCTCAGTCCCAGAGATTAATCCTCTGAAGGGGAAACAGGCCTGTACCTCTCCTGCCCTACAGTTCCAAAGAAAGAAATTCTCTGCCCGCATTTTTACCCTCTTTCTCCTTGTACTGTATATACACACACAAAAAAAACCCTGTCCCATGCAAGTCAGAACACAAATTAATTGAGTTATGTTAGATACCAGCCTTTTGGTCTTCATGCAGTAACAGATATGAAGAC